CCGCGCTCTCACGGACTCCGCGCGGGGCGGGTTTGGTTTTGTCGCCTTAGGAGAATGCCACGAACGAGGAGATCCTGCTCTCGCTGGAGCACGTTCGTCCCGGCAAGGGGTACAAGCCCAATTTCATCATGTTCGAGAAGTGCGAGGTGAACGGGAAGGGCGCGCACCCCCTCTTCGCCTTCCTGAGAGAGGCGCTGCCCTTCCCGCACGACGACCCCTCGGCGCTGATGACCAACCCGCAGTACATCATCTGGTCCCCGGTCTGCCGCAACGACATCTCCTGGAACTTCGAGAAGTTCCTCATCGGCCCCGACGGCGTGCCCTTCAAGCGCTACAGCCGGCATTTTGAAACCATCAAGATCCAGGATGATATTGAATTGCTTCTGCAGAAGGTTCCCGAGAACGTTCTGGAATAAAGCCGCGGGCGGCGGCGTTTGCTGCCCGGCCCCCTCGCTTCCTGCTCGGCTCACCGCGCTCCTGCCTGCGTTGCTCGCAGGGGGCTGCTGCCCTGGCAGAAATCCCAGTGTCTCATGCGGGTTTTGCTTGTGATGGTGCATCTTCCAAATTCTTGAAGTGTGCCTGATGTTTTCAAAAGTTGCATGTGGATGTTTGGTTAACTATGCCGGGGAACGCAGCTGTGAGTCTCAGTAGCTTACTGTGATTCTCTCAATAAAAAAACAATGCGTACTTTCTTTAAGGCTGTGGCTTGATAAATCCGGGCGAGTTGGGTGAAACGTGGCAGCTCCGTTGCCCGTTCGTAGCTCGTGTGGGTGCTCACAGGGGCTGACTCAAACCACTCGAGCATGATGCTGCGGTCAGGCTGAAATTCGAACACAAACCTGGGGCAGCATGATGGACAAACAGCGTTTCCAGCTCTGCAAGCCGTGAATCTACGTCTAACCCTGTGTGTAACAAGCCTGGCAGAGTGGCAGGGCAGCGCAGAACAGAAATACCTTGCCAAAGTGCTTACTGGACCTCACTCAAGGCTTGCCTGCAGAGGAGAGGCATGGCAGCACACGGCCAGGGTGTGATTTTACACTGGCTGACAAGCTCCCAGCTTGGCTACCAACAGGCTGCGACAGGCTAATCACCGTTCAGGCAGGTAGACGGGTGATTCTGCAGCCTGGGCTGCTGCAGCCACGCTGGCAGAGGGCTTGGGGAAGAAGAGCCCTTCGGCCAAGGCCCTTCTCGTTACCTGGCCTCCATCAGCAGATGCCCGGGGGGGACCTAAAGCAGGAGCAGCACCCGCCATCCCCCACCTTGTCCCAGAGCCACCACCCCCTCGCTGGCTCCTGGCTCCCATTCTGCACTGGTGGCAGCCCAACATGGGTCTCTGCTATTCGTCCAGTTGTTCATGAAGCCCAATGCCTTGCAACGCAGGGAACTGCACAAAGAACCAGTTCTTTTGTGCTCCCAGTACACACCACCAGCCTGTTCAACCACTTCTCCCATGGAAACCGTGCCTTGCCTCAGAGTGTCCTCGTTGCCCTTTGGGCACAGGGATTGCATGTGACACTCCAAGTGCAGGTACGCCCGGGTTCAGGCAATATTTTCTTCTTCCTGCTCCTTCCCTAACACTTTTTTGACTCCTGCCAACCATGGAGCTGACAGGTATTTCACAGAGCTGCTACAAGAATCCTCACACTTTGTTTCTGCGCAGCAATCCTGGG